TGTTTAATAAACGAGTAGGAGTGTTTTATCAGGAGTGTTTTATCACATATAAAACACGACGCGTAACGGAGTGTTTTATATGTGTTAAAACACGAACTACGAGTTTATTAAACAGCTTCAAAAACGTCTCAGTTAGATCACGGCATTGGCGAAATAATTTTCCAAAATAACTTTGTATTAGCTGAGAAAATACAAGTTGAAATTTGAAGCGTGTTTTATTACATATAAAGACACGCCACGCTTATGATTTCTCTTTGTGTTTTCCTCATGAATTATTAATGAGTTTTTGAAGGACTGTTTAGGGTTAAAGAAAACATAATAATTAAAACAGTGGCAGTCGCGCTTTTATGTATACTATATAGTAAAACATGAGCAGCCGATCTGTATATCTGATATAGCTACACACTCGAGTCGAAGGCGAGAACTTGTACATCAGATACAGATCGGATGCGAATGTTTTATCGTACTTAAAAAATGACCCATCTTATGAGTTCATTGGCGAAGTAATTTTAAAACTAAACATTGTCTAAGCCGAGAAAATCAAAGCTGATGTTTATGTAAGTCAGGAGGACAAATCTTCAACCGATTTACAAACATTGATTAAACATTGATTTCTTCTGTATTTTCCTCGTGAATTATTAATGATTTTTTTAAAATTTGATATAGTTGCATGTTTCTGTTTCTGTTTCATACAGATACAGGCTAATATTGAGGTGCATGCTATCTTTTATAACCTCGGGTAAAAACTACCAAAATTTTGCACAGGTGTGAATTACCCTGCAGTGACTGCACTGGAGTATCGAAACGTTGGATCGTTAATGCATGCTATTCAGTTGAGATTTTGCTTTTATTTATTTATTTAAAACCAAGCGAACTAAAACATGTCCATTAAATAAGCAGGATCGAGGCTCGCTGCATATCCCCATATCAGAAGCAAATAAAATGTCATACAGTTACACTGCTGATGATGTAATGTATCTATATATACCCATTTCTCTCCAGTAGTTCTTTACAGGATGATCGCGGTGGTAGAACGGCTAAAACATTTTAAAGAAATTATTCTCAACAAACACGTACATTACCTGAAAGTTATCTCTTAGACGTATGGCATAGCGTATTTAGCTCCCATGCAAGGAGCTTTTTCGTTAAATTTATAAAGAAGAGCTATGTTTTAAAGTGCAAAAATAAATATTCTTAAAATTTTGAAAGACTAAACAGGACTAGCTACATTGATTCATTGTTAACATACTTGTTGGTTGAGTTGTTGAATCATATGTTTTTTTCGGTGTAGATGTTGCTAATAATTAGACAGAACATGAAGTAACTTTTAAAATCGTAAAAAAATAGTATCTGAAGATGAATAAAAATATAATTTTTACAATAATTTATTATGAATCTACTTGTTGTTTGAGTTGTGTAACCATCTCTCTTTCTTGGTTTATTTGCTATATAAATATAAAAAAATATTTAAAGGTTCTTAAAAAACTAAACAGGGAAAATATGGAAGTGAGTTTTAGTGTAATTTTAAAATTCTTAACTTACTTGTGGTTGTGTTTGTGGGGCCATCTGTCTTTTCCAGTGTAGATTTTGCTATAATTATAAAGAAAATTGTTTTAAAGCATAAAATTCAATATTCTCGGAAAATTAAAGGAAGACTATGGAATTATAAAATAGTGGTCTCATTGTGATTCCCGCCGTTTATTCGACTCGAGTTTATTTACATGGGATATTGAATAGCCTGCGTGGCAGGCGGTATTTCTACAGGCAGCGGAAATTATGGAGGCAAAGGAAATACCAAACCGCTTGCCACGCAGGCTAGATATTGAAGGGCGAATATCTTCGCTGTAAAAATAAATTATTTAAACTTCTCTTCCCATATATATTTCACTGTTTGACAAGTTTAAATGTGCATGATTGAAGCTTTGCATAATTTCACATGTGAAACTGGAACATGTGATATTTCACATGCATGCGTATTCGGAACATGTAATCATGATATATCACATGTGAAGTTTCACATGTGAACACATGTCAAATTATGTGTTTCAAATGTGAAACTTCACATGTGAAATTTTAATTTCACATGTGAAGTTTCACATGTGAATTTGGAACATGTGAAACACATAATTCCACATGTGTTTCACATAACTTCACATGTGGGATTTCACATGTGAAAAATCACATGTTCCAAATTCACATGTGAAATTTCACATATGTGAAATTATGTGCAATTTATGTAAGGGAACCAGGCTTAACCAAGAAACACAACAAGTTTAATAAATAAGCACAGTTGCTTGGTAGGCCTAAGTCATGCAACAAAATTGCGTAATATTAGGCGGCGACTGTTGTTTTATCTGTTTATGTCATTAAAAATTAAGCTCAAGATCGATATCGAAGATTTTGGATTAACAAATTTAACTAAATGGAAGCGATGTGTCTTTGGCACTGCAACATACACAACTCCTTAAAAACTAAAGCTTGCGCTCTTGATTCTTGAAAGTTCAAATACTATAAGAGAAACATTTCAAGCAAAGTTACAATTTGATTTTCGAGTTTCATATCTATTCAGACAGATATTGTTTATTCGTTGTTGAATGGCTGTAGCAGCATAATGTAGGCTTTTTAAGCATAATAGTTTAAATTGAAAGCATGCATTTACTATTTCACTCACCAAAAGGTGCTTTGATTGCTTAAACGACCCAACTTATGAGTTTATAGGCCAAGTAATTTTAAAAATAAACATTGTCTATGCCAAGAAAATCAACGCTGAAGTTTATGTAAATCAAGACAAACATTGATTAAACATTCATTTTTTTAAAATTTTCTTCGTGAATTATTTTTGAGTAGTTTTAGTAGCTATATATAATTCTCTCGTCAATTTTTAGTGCTGACATTTTGAAAATTACTCAATGTGAACTTACTTTTTGTCTGAGACTGAGTTGTTGAACCATTTGTTTGAGTTGTCGTTGCTGAAATAGAAATAATATTGTTTTGAAATAAACGTACCTTAGATAAATCCACATACACAAACTCCTTAAAAACTAACTCATGCGCTCTTGATAGTGCAAATACAACTCTAATGTCGTTTCGGACGGTTAATATCAGCGTAATGTAGGCTTTTTATTTAAACTATTAACTAAGACATACTTGTGGAAACTTTTTTTGTTATCTGACGAGGGGTGCTTAATGAAACAGCATCTTCAGGTTTCTGAAAAAGGTATAATTGAACAAGTTCATTGAAGAATATTTTACTTTAAGCTGCTCAACTGCTTAATTTCTACCTCCCCTGTAAGATACCAGAGTAGCCTCTTCCCCATCGTCGTGTCTCATGGGAAGGCCAAATTTTCTAGAGGCCTAACTGCTGGAAATAGATCGTGTAAACAAAATGGAGTCATACACTCTTATTTATACGCCATGATTAGCCTACGCTACTTACATAAATACATAGTTAGAAAATACAAACAATAAAGAAAAACATTCGTTCAAATAATTTTATTTTCAAAGATGGTTGAAAATTGGTCGAGTTTTCGATACACTTTGCGCATAAAAACATATTCTGACAGTACTTACTCTATCGGGTTGAAGTAGTATGTAGTAATCAAAATTTTCATTTTTCTTTAAATTCACTGGCTGTTCTTCTGAATAAACAGTTCTGAGTAATTCACAATTTTCTTGTTCTCCAGAGGTTTTTCTGAAGTTAGCTGATCTGCATGATTTATCTTGAAGCATACATTGCATGATGCAATCCCCTGCTGACTCTGCGTGAACATGTTTGATTAGCCTAGACTCGGTATCCAAACGATAACCTTTTTAACAGTAGAATAAGTAGTAGAAAGAATGTTACTGATTTTGAAAATACAATTTACCCATAGTTGGCTATCTTTGTAATTTTGGTCTAGGGCATTAATATACAAAGAAAGAAATCTATTCCTACTTGGGTTGCATTAGACGTATAACATGATGCTCTTGTTGGAAGATCTTTCACGAAAGAATCTCATTAGCTGCTATTGCATTTAGAACGTCTTTTGATCTAACATGCATGGCCCTCATATCTGTGCCTTGTAAATGTCAAGTGATTGATTGCAATTGACTATATAATATATGGTTCTTGAAAGCATTGACTTCTGCTAATGCATGGGGCTTGTTATAGTCTGTGTTAATCTTATCAACTACTGCATGGCCTTCACCTGAAAGTATGGCATTTTTGTTATAAGCTGCCAACTGAACTTTTCTGTGTTTGATAGTTTGGCCTTTTTAGTGGTATAGACTATTTTTTGGAAGAGTTGTATAGTGATCTTGCAATTTTGCGATTTGATTAAAATTAGGCAAAATTTTTAAATTCTTGAATTTTCGGCACTGGTCTTTTTGCTGTAACTGAATGAACCACTACAATGAGGATACAGTCTGACAGTGTACTGAGTATCGCGTTCTCTTCGTTTTGAATTCAATTGCAATGAGCCAATCTTGGGGCCAGAATATTTATGAGATAAAAATATGAGATTGTCAAGTCTTTCAAATTCTTCACGAATCAAGTCGTGAAGCGTTTAAATTTATTTAGTCTTATTTGCCAAAAGTTTATTTTGCTATATGTAACTTGAAAAATGCGCGTCATTTGAATGTGCAATCGAATTTCTCGATTCGTGTATTGAAGCATTGATTGCATAAAACAAAAGCATTGTCAAAACTGATTTTTTTTATCTTGTTTTAATGAAATAGCTAAATAAAATGGAACTCACGCAAAATATATTAAATTAAAGGATGCTAAGTTTAGCCCGAGCAGGTGTCCATGTATATATATATATATATATATATATATATATATATATATATATATATATATATATATATATATATATATATATATCGCCAACACATGGGCTGTTAATTTGCGGTAAGCATGACCCAAATGCATTTGTATATAGGTTATTATCGCAAATAGATGAGCAACGAGTGTGACAACAGAAGAGAGAACAATTCCTGAAACTATACCAGTGAAATAATACTGAAAATATATTACAATTACACGTTGGCTAAAGTAATTAACTTTATTTAAGTCGTTTACATATGACAAGTTTTATAGGTTGGCAACTTTGTCAAACAAAGTGCATGGCAAAGTAATTTGAGGATTTTATATTATAGACAGATTTGAAAACACGACGCGACGTCTAAGACGCCGTTATTTGGCGCGAACTGCATGTCGTCAGCATCTGCATAGTTTGCGACGTCGTCTATAGCTTAGACGATCTACGATGGGAAAATGCAATTTTCACGTCCATCTCTAGAACGTCACAGATTTATGCTTCTTTTGAAAAAAATATAAGACTATTTATCATGAACATCACGCATCATATTATAACAAAACTGCGAGCATTATCGCGCTAGTATTCTTCAACCAAACAAACATTTTCCGGCAAACTGAACTGAAGTTTGCGATAATAACAGATATTTGCTGTGTTGGTATAATGTACTCGAGTGAATAAGATGGGCTATATAGTACTGTATTCCAAGGGTCGTAGGTTTGATTCCCACCGTGGCCAGACATATTTTTCAAGCCGTCCCGCTGTGGATATATACACTCAGTGTAACATCACAAGCATAATAACAGATGTTTAAGATCAGGAAAACAAGGAAATTAAGATATAGAAATCGAAGAAGAAAAGCATTTAAAGCAATAATTAAAAAGTCAACTTAATTTTAGTTGTTCTGTCACAACAGTGCAAAAAATAGGAGAATTCAAGATCGCGAACCCTTTTCCATCGTAATAGCGTTTAAGTTTACCAATATAAGCACTAATGGAATATTTAGTTTGAACAGTTGACAATCTGGATTGAAGCGGCTATATCAAGTTAAACTATTTAGCTCGTAAATAATACCTACAGCTTTTAGTTTTGTATTTATTCAAAATGATACGAGTATGCGATAAAGTTCACTTGTTGAAAGTACGTCGGAAATATATTCGGCTTTGCAAAAACAAAACTTATATAGTGAATGTTCATACATAAAGGTCAGGAAATACTTGGCAAGTATTACTGTAGCTTTTTCTTGCACTGATTGAAAACAATATACATGAATAAGCAGGCGACAAGAAAACAAAAATTGGTTTCGAAAAAGACAAACAATTCAGATTAAAGCCCGGAATTAGTGAACGCGAGATGCATAGCCTATATATGTATCAGTGTCATTTATAGTTTTACGTCGTCTTAACTATACGACGCGTCCGGCGTGTTTTGTAAATCTATCTAATAATTTTCGTGGCGGTCAGAAAACCAAAAACTTGTCATAGAACATTAATTTTGTTGAAAACTTGCAATAGAAAACGTGCATTATAGTGACTGCATGCATCTAGGTATTGCCCAGGCATTAAAATATGAAATTTTTACAAAGACACACTTCAGAGGTGTATTTTTGGTATAAATGAGCAGACTTACGAGAACGAGTGGCGAAGCCACAAGTTTAGCGTCGAAGACGCGATCTTTTAAGGGAGTCTCTGAAATGGCATTTCGAGAGTTCTGCATGAGAACAGAATTTTCAAAATCTTCGGCCATTTTGCGCGGATTACATTAATATATTTTCAGTTTAATATATTTTCAAGTACGCACTTCTTAATTTACAGGGGCACATTCGCCTTTTACAAGGACACAAAGTGTGTACAAAGACACGCTGTTTTAAAGCCTGGTATTGCTAGTAAAATTACTTCAATTTATGTGCAAATACACGCAGTATACGTATTCATTTTTTGAGCAAGATAAATTTTCAAAATATTGAGTAAACTTTAAACTTTATAAAATATTAGGTAAATTTGCAAATAGTTAAATTTGAGTGATTGTTTTCAAAATTTTGAGTTGCTGGTGGTCCACCCAAGTTTTTCAATCATAATACGCTGGGATTTTTTGCAGCCTGCATGCATAATAAACCGTTTCAGTTTCTCAGAACCCACCTTCTTTAGATCCGTCGTAGCAAAAGCTAAGCCCTTCTCCAAACGATTGCAAATTTAAAAATACCATGAACCAAAAACTCAGAAGGATAGGACCAAAACGTAGACTCCAGTGCTTACAAGGCTTGCTACAAATTTCTTTTGCCATGTTCTGTCGATGAACAGGTGTAATTTCGGTTTAGAGAACGCGTCTCTTGGTTGCCTTTGGCGAAACTTTAGTAGTATATATAATAATGCCAACAAATGTCCATAAACGTGCAGTCGGTAGAATACTGAATTATCCCAGCAGGAACACTTATTCATGCATGAACATGTTGACTGCTAAACATTAAGTTTTATCAGTTTCGAGAATTGCCTTTTGCAGCTAGTATACAATATACATCGCTGTGCAAGAGTATAGCATGCCACAAATGAAACCGTTGGCGTTTCATTAATATTATTAATATTAAATTCAAGCGTTTAATATTTTTTGCAATGCCGCTATGTATTTGTTTATTTTAATAATTTCCGGTAATGTACAATTTGAAGATTCATCAACTTTTTGTGATATGTAAGAAATTATATTGTGTCTCCAGAATAGACCTTTTCCCTTTTGAGTGAAATTTTGATATAAGCAAGTATGGACACAAATTTCATCACAGCTTGAAAGAGCATAAAAAAATTAGTAATATTCCGAAGTTTCGTTGCGAAATGTTGTAAAATTCGGATAATATAGCCTTGCGAAGTTTGCCGTTTTTCTGTTATTTTGCATTACAAATGAAAAATGATAATCAGTGGCCGGTTGTATAAAACTCTTATTAATCACTTTTTAATCGCTATTTTGTAGTTAAATAGTGATTAACTCTCAAATACAAATACGCGCCTCTTATTGGATGACGTTTCCACTAACTATAGTTAACTTTGATCACTTTTTTATAAAACGGCCCCAGATGATCAAACTGATTATCAATTCCCGTTTGTAATCTAAAATGACTGAAAAACGGCAAACTTCGCAAGCATTTATTATCCGCATTTTGCAACAATTCGCACCGAAACTTCGGAATATCAAAAATTTTGTGATGTTCTTTCATGCTGTGATGAAATTTTTGTCCAGCCAAGTCTTGATCAAAATTTCACTCATAAGGGGGAAAGGTCTATTATAAGATAACGCTGCTATATGTACGACCGAAGGGTCCGACACCTTATACACGGACCATGCATGTAATCAACAGACAAGTATATTCATCAAGGGTGGGTTGATTACAAAATTTTTGTAGTTCGCTATAACTACAGCTACTTCAAAAATATGTAGTCAGCTACAACCTCTGCTACTTTTGAACAAAGGTAGTTCGCTACTGACTACAGCTACTGCTCAATATATGTAACGAACTATATTTCGTTATATATTTTGCTACGCAAAATTTTTTAATTTTATTGTATTTCGAGCATCTAACTAGCTCAGGCTGTAATGTAACCTATACGAAATCGACTTACGCGAGTAAATAAGACGACATGCTCTTGCATGCACAGTTTGAACAGTTGCAGCACGGCATACTTTATTCATGCAAATTGAGTATTGATTTTAAGCAAACCGTGTCTTAATAACATTCTATTTATCAAGTTGCTAATAATTTTAAAAAGTAACGAATAGCGATTTGCCGTTTGAAAAGTAGTCAACTACTTGGCTACTGTTAGGCAAAATGTAGTTCGCTATAACTACAACTACTGTTTCAAGAAAAAAAGTAGTCAAAAACTACTGGCTACTTGAAAATTGTAGTTCGCTACAGTAGCAAACATATATATATATATATATATATATATATATATATATATATATATATATATATATATATATATATATATATATATATATATATATATATATATATATATACATATATATATATTGTGGCATATTTATTCCGATCGGGTATCTCTCCAAGCGGCAAAGTCGTGTTCAAGAAATTACCTTTATGTCATTTTTATACGACTGAACGTTAACACTGCAATTATTGGGGCGAATGGAGCCCCGTCATTAAAGTTCAGCACTTTCTAGCCTGCATGTTATTCTACTCTTCTATTATTCAATAGGCCTACTTGTAAATATTTTTGCGAAAACTATCGCACGCAACCTGCTTACAACGTTGTCCCATAGGTGAGTTGTTGGCATGATTTATACAGTACAACTCAAGTTGTAAGCAGGTCGCATGCGATATTTGTGTAGTACAAATAGGCCTTTCCATTCCTTTTATATGTATATATGAGAGTAATCCTCCTCACCTGGCAATGGCACCGGCTTTTCACTGTATGGTCATAGTTTGTCCTCGTGTTCTGATTCGATGCTGACAACACATACATACATTAATCAGTTCGCTTTCAGTTACCGATTACATCAAGTTATATATTACATGCACTTATACTTATTATATATATTACATAGTATACTTGCATAGCCTGGACTATTTATCTTTTTTACAACAATTCTAATATTATTTTCTAACCATCTCAACTTTCCTTCAACAATTTTCTACGCTGATCATATAGGAATTGGCCCCAGGCTCTGATTGCAGTAGCCCGCATCCAGCCTTTGCCCGCGCCATTCCTAACCTTCCTTCAAATAAGGAGTGTCCGGAATGATAATTTTATGAACTGAAAACTTGATTAACGCTACAATCCGTTTGACGAAACTGAAATGCATACATACATACATACATAATACTTTATTGGGGAAAATGGCATAAAAACTTTTTACGACCTTCGTAACTATTGGGCGTCAATTTCCGCCAAACCTTGGTTGCAAGGTTCTCATTGGCCGAATGATTTGAAATTCTAGCTGGTGCAACTGGAAGCAGAGCCTGGGCTTCCTGTGGCCTGATTTGTATAAATGTTCCCTGTCGACTAACGAAATGTGTTCGGTGATATTTGTTTCAAAATGTTTTCTATTTAAAAAATAGAAAACATTTTTCTTGTTTCTATACATGGCTGGTATTTTGACTTTAAAATAATTTAACTCGTAAATGACATCGATAATCGATCGCCAAATATTATTTCATTAAATGATTTCTCTTTGTAGACTTAAGGTGACTCAATACAGCCAAAATATCCACCATTATCAAACATTATTGTTGCCATAGCAACGGCCGTTGCGCAACTTTTGTGAAAAAATTTAAACTCTTAAGATGTTGTTTTATATAACTGAGGAACGTTTTGTTTATGAACAAGTAATAATAGTCTAAAAATCTGAATTTTGCATTTTTTAAAAAAACTATATTGACTGAGCCTCCTTAACTCTTTTGACAATTTTAAAAAAATCGTCCTGCCAAAATTTTTCAAATTGCATAAATCATTAGTCATAATAATTTTTTTGGCTTGACAATTTTTTAAAATTGTCAAGATAATGGACGACTTGCGCTTTAGAAAAATTTTTAATCTGGGAATAACAAAGGATATTTTTGAAAAGAAGTTATCAAAATTAGAAAAACTGCAAAGTTTGGTTTCGAAATGTTGTAAAATACGAAAAATAGAGCCCTGCGAAGTTGGCAAATTTGTAAACATTTCTGTTACGTGCGGAAATTGGTAACTAATTTAGTTACCAATTCACGCACGAAATACAAAAGAATACAAATTTGCCAACTTTGAAGGGCTATATTTTCCGTATTTTACAACATTTCGCAACCAGACTTTGTAATATTACTAATTCCAAGACGCTCTTTCTAGCTGTGGTGATAGATTTTGTTGTTCTTACTTAGATTAAAATTTAGTCTAAAGCGCAAGTCGTCCATTGTACGTACCGAGGGAAATTATTTTTTTAAATACATTTGCGGGTTAGCGATGTTGTTTTCGAGTCAAAATATCCGCCACATTGTATGAAGCATCATTGTTGCCACAGCAACGGTGGTCCTGTAACTTTTGTGTCAAATTTCAATCTCTTCAGAGGTCGTTTTACATAAGTAAAGCACTCTCGGCTTTCAGCTAGTAATAATTGTCCAAGAATTTTTGAAAAACTGCATGAATCAAGCATAAAATTGATTTATTTACGTTTTAAAAAAAGCTGCGACAGGGGATGTTTCCAGTTATTTAATAGAAACTCGCCATTCGACCAATCGACGCTCGCGTGCTATAAATGTTATATTATAAATACAGCTTGAAAAGAGAGTTCGATTTATCGCAGTCCAATTGCTGTTCCGTTTGCCTCAACCCAACGATCACTGGATGTATAACAACCACTTCCGCCGTAATGCACCTCTGTTAGGTAAAAGAAATTACTGGGTATTCTTTCTGTTGAAACCATTCCCGTTTTCCTCCAATCTACCGCAACCCCTTGGTTTTCGTAGTAATTACTGTCGTGATACGTATTCGGCGTCTGTTCACGATGGTTTGGAAAGAATGCAAAGTAACTTCTGATGGGGAAAGTGCTAAAATTGTATTTCACTTCCATATTGTTGGACAGGAATCCGTTAGTGTAAATTGATGTGCTCAGATAAAGATAATCTAACATGAACGAATTTGTAGGGCTGTCGTAATGTATTCCAGATCCTAATAAAGAAAATGAGATTACTAAGCCTAATGTTTTGTGTAGAGAAGCTTGTGAGAATCGGAATATCTACCAATACACAATAATGATACATAATCCCAAATTCGCGTTTTCCCTATCACAAGCTACAGTACTATCGTACACATTACCACTTCTGCTGCCATTACAACGACAACCACCATGGTGTTATCATAAATATTATAAACACTGGATAGGAATTGAACTTATCACGCACATGATGTTTTCAGCGTGCTGATTGCGTTTCAATCTTGCTGAAAATTACGAAATCACTAAATCCAAACTAAGTCCACGTTTAGCAACCATACTGCTGAGCATTTTGGTCAAAAAAGGTAATAATTCAACCTTGTCATTTTACGAAGGAATATCTAAATATTGCTGAACATTTTCAGGCAACATTTCGAGCATTAGACGGAAACTACGCGTCACAAATTTCAATTATATCAACCTGCAGCACTTTTTGTGACGCCAATTCTTCATTACGAAAGCAAAAAACTAAAAGAAAGACAAAGACGTTTACCTCGAATACTTTGCAATGGCACAGGCAGATTTAAAAGACGGGAAACCATTTTTAATCTCAATATAGAAACTTGAATGCGCAAAATATAGCAAAATGGAAGAAAAACGCAGAAAACTTTACTATCTTCGTTATATTCGTGAAATCGTGCACGGATTTCAAACAGGTCACGTCTACTGGCATAATTGATTTTCTTTTTCCTATTAATTTTTTAAATATCCCTGACGTCATCGTTTACTCAGTCCCACAATCACTCTCTCGTTTTATCGTCACCAACTAGGAATGAACAGTTCATTATTATCAATATCATCACTAAATTCGTATAAAATTTACTTCCACAACAATATTTATACTAAAAAACTCATTAATAATTCAGGAGCAAAACACAAAGAAAAATTATAAGCGTGTCGTATCTTTATATTTGATAAAAAACCATGTTAATTTACACAACTTTAGCTTTGATTTTCTCGGTTTAGACAAAGTTTATTTTAAAAATTACTTCGCTAATGTACTCATCAGAAGATGGGTCGTTTTTAAGCCATTTAAAGCACTTGTAGTCGTGTTTTATCAGATATAAAACGCTCGGCTGTGCCTCGCGTTTTATATCTGATAAAACACTCCTACGCGTGCTTTAAATAGTATACTTCCAGAATTATTATAATAAACGCAATCAATTCTTTTTAGAGTTTCTTTCAAATATCTCATTTACAATCATTCCAAAGTCGCAATAATTCTCATCAATCTCCATCACTATAATTACTGTCATAACACTAATTCCATGGTAATTTTTAACGATTCCCACCAGAATCCTTATATTATACCACAAAAATGAGCACAATGGAAACTATTGGGAGATGTTATTCTTTGAATTAGCAACAACCATCTTACAAGTTCAAAAACACCCATCTTTATACGATAAAAATGGACAGAATTTAAACTACTGGGAAACATATAATTTGCTTTGCTCAAATAAAGTGTTTGTTAGTACTATTTTTTAATATGGACACTCACAAACGTATATACCCTCATTACAACGACTATCACGAAGGACTACCCTTTTTGCATTTAGCAACCCATTTTCCTTTTCAAATCGGTCGTCAGCACAAATTAACTAACATCATTAGCAATGCAGCTGTCGTAATCCTATTTACACGAACTAACCTGAGTTTGTATTCTGCAGGACTACTAAAGGCGTTTGCGATTTCTCTTTCAGTTGTTGGATGTGGGTGTAGGTCTGACTACCATCTTTCTTTAAAATGTACAGAAGAACTTCAGAGTGGTTTGTGAAAAGTTGTGATACAAAGTTGGACAGAGTTCCGTTCTTGACAGCCGACTTGGGGATAAAGGTGAAGCCTCCACCATGAAGAATCATTTCACAGTACACTGTCACTATTTTGTTGTCAACAGAGACATCATAAAGTCCGCTTGTAGCCCCTGCTGATTTTGTCAGAATATCTTTGCAGGAGATTGGTGGTAAGGAGACGGGTGGTGAGGGTTCCTAAAATGGAAAATTTTTCAAACTTTAAAAATATTTACTGTAAATCCAATAAGGTTCCCCCACTCAAGTAAGCTCTCTTTTATGCACTCTATATCGTTCCCGGCGTGCATTATGGTGGACATGGTGCAGGATGTGGAACAGCTTTAGAGAAGATGCAACGGTTTAGCTCAAGGTCTCTATCTATGGAAAATTAGGGTGTATAACGTCCTCCTCCCCACCTGCGCGGGAAATATGCTGCGTTACGCATGTACTGCACATATGCATCAATGTATTTCTGAAATATAACTCTATACGTACAACTCTTCAATGTTGGTCTTCATTATTTCCCATTACTTCAAAGTTTCTTTTGAAATATTGTATCAAAATTGTATACTTATGTATTCATAGATGAATGGTTATTGCTGTTTTCATTAAAACTTTTTCACAAATTAAAAAATCCACTAAGTAACACATAAAAAATGACAAACTTTGATCTATCGTTTTAATTACCTTTCCCAAGGGAACATTCACGATTTTTCAGCGGAGTTGCAAGACGATGCGCACCTCCCCTCACAATCCGACCATGCCGTCTATTGAGCTTTCTCAATATGCAGGGTGTATCAGAAAAAAGTTCACAGTTAGAAAAGTTCACTAAAGTCAGATGCGCGCGAAATTTGCGAAAGCCTAATATGCCCATAGTATGTACTTTAACGTTCTCTGGTACATCTGGCGCTAAAATTAAAGAAGCTGGGACACCACAACAGCTTACTCACTAGCTTCCCAAAAAACTTCATTTATATAAAACTTCAAGTTAGAAATAAATTTTATTAAATTTTAAATAAATACATAAATACGTTTCGGGACGAAGGGGCTGTGCCCCGAAACGTATTTATGTATTTGTTTGAAATTTAATAAAATTTATTTCTAACTTGAAGTTTTATATAAATGAAGTTTTTTGGGAAGCTAGTGAGTAAGCTGTTGTGGTGTCCCAGCTTCTTTAATGCCATTATTGTATAATGTTTGGAAGCGAAGCACAATAAATAAATAAATAAATAAATACAATGAGCTTTACAAGGCGCTTGTCGTATTTATCAACAAAATGACGTATAATTATAAAATATATATATATATATATATATATATATATATATTACATATATATATATATATATATATATATATATATATATATATATATATATATATATATATATATATATATATATATATATATATACAGTATATATATTTTTTATGTCTTTTTATATATATATATATATATATATATATATATATATATATATATATATATATATATATATATATATATATAAGCACTCTGGCCCCGTTACGAAGTGAAGTAATTCATGCAAGTTTGATGTAATTCATGCAAGTTTGTCTTCTAATCTTATATTATTCGTATATTCTTTTTACCTTTTTGTCTATATAAATATGGTTGAACTCAGGGTTATGTATACTTCCATCAGCATCTGATGCTTCTTGTAGTGTCTTACTGTTCAGCTCGCATAGACCTTTATTGATTCCAGACGTTTTATAATTTACTGACGCACACGATCTTTCTCCAAGGCAGTGCATAAGACACTCTAACTCGGTCTTTGCTTGTTTTATTTCGATGACTTGATTTGCCAAATATTTTTCCTTATTTATGCGCAAGAAAGCTTGGCTAATCGAGCATTCACCTTGTGCTATTTTTGTTATTATGAAAATTGACGCAAAAATCCTAAATAAAACAGCCATTGGAAGATTGATAATATATAAATTATGGTGTAAAGGCTCTTTTAAGCAGCTGCAGAAGTATATTGAACAAGTAATTGTCGTGATTCCTCGCCGACGGTTTAGTTCCTTTAACCGTCGTTTGAACTTTCGTTTTAGCCCGGCGACTTATTTCAATATATTTTGATCTCCTCGTCTTCCTTCTCACCAAACTGGAAACATGTAAGCAGCAACTAAGTAAGAATATAACTGTCAGTAATTGTTGATATGAAGTTAGATTGATAAATAAATTGATAAATATATTAGAATATTGTAAAAGAAAAAAGAAGAGGAATAAAATCGATAAATCCTCTAAAATTTTTTGCATATGCACATTGGACTTACAGATGCATTTGCCAAGTCAAGTATTACGTTCCAAGTCAAGTATTACGTCAAGTATTATGATGCTTCAGGAAATTTATCAGGTTTGGCCGCTGCCAATTAGAGACCGTTCATTATTTATACCCGGAGTTGCTACCGAAGAGAAATGAGTTGGGTAATCAAGTCTGTCAGCCATAAAATAAAACCATAATTACTATGGATTGGTAAACATAAAGAAAAATGTGTACAATATATTCTGTACCAAAATAGACCATCAGTGATTGAGGAAGGACTGTATCATTGATCAGCAGGAACGTGGTTCCTTCGGCACACTCAGTGTGTGTGAGTGAAATTTTAGAATTTAGGCAACTTGATTCCTGTCACCATGATCTTGTGTGTTTAATTGTTACGAAATACAGTAAAACATGGGTTGGATAAGAAATAATTTTGATAAATGTTGAGGTTGGGTACCACTATAAATAAAAGTTTATACTGTTTTTCGTTTCTCTTCGGTACCAACCCCAGGTATAAATAATGAACGGTCTCTGATTTGTTTTTGGAACTGGAACGACTGGGCACTTAGATGAAACTTAACGCGAAAAAGACGAAAGACATGTGGAATGCTTTGAAGATCGATGCAATTCCGAAACCACCATCATTTGAAGCTGCTAGATCTTTGGATTAGTAATATGCTTAAATGGAACACCCATATTGAAGAAACTACATGCATGCAAAGAAAGCAAACAAACGGTTATTTTACCTACGGGAATGTCGTCAAGCAAATCTAACGACTAAAGTGGGTTTTACATGCTATGAAATCAAATTAATACCGGTTTGAAATACGTAGTTTCAGTCACGCAGACTGGTTATGGAATACGCGGTCGCGATATGGAGTGGTGTGCTACAATACTTTACAGACAAGCTGAAGAGTATATCCAGACTAGAAGTCCGGAAAATGTTTGGGTTACTTCTGATTCACTCTAGTCCCCTCCCCCCCACCCATTCTCCCAGGTCGAAAAGGCCCTGTCAGGAATTCTTAGCAATTGAAAATTCTCGCCAAAGTCTAAAAATTTTATTGTTGACAATCAAGTTTGGCAATCGTATTTGCTAAAATCACTATTATCGAAACTTCGCTTGTAATTTTCGTTGATATCATAGTTGATATCATGACTGCACTTTGTTATACGGCCTGTTTTAAAATATTCTTAGCCACATGGATATTTTTAAACTTTTTGGCAGGTTGTTCGCAAAACAGCCGCTGAAGAAGCATATATGCACGCGTAGATTCAAAGAAATCATTTAAACGCTCGTGCATGCCGGAAGATCGATAAT